TTATTACCCACAATCAGAGGCTGAAGTAAAGTTACTATGCAAATGAAGACTTGACCCACCACCAGTCTGATTGGTTATGGGACGGGACCAATCGGAGATACTTTTTATTTTTCATCTGTCACATGGAAAAAGGGGGTGAGGATGGAGGTGACAAAGGGAGTAGGCCCTGGTCCTTTTGTTACTTGCGTGTGGAAAGTTGGGGTTTTCTTTTTGATTTAGTTCAAGGAAGTCAGAGTGAATCGACCTTAGGTCCCCTGCCTCCAGACCCTATTCTCCTGCCTCACTTCCCTGCACAGACCTGGCAGATAAGACCTCTTTATGGCTGGGTGCAGTGGCTCACACCTGTAGTCTTGTCACTTTGGGAGACTGAGGTAGGAGAATCGCTTGAACCAAAGGGTGTGGAGGTAGCAGTGAACTGAGATCGTGCCCTTGCACTCCAGCCTGGGCAACAGAGCAAAACTCTGTCTCCAAAAAAAAAAAAAAATACTCTTTACACCTTCTCCTTCCTTCTTTGACTCTCAGTATCTCGAGTTTGCTTCTTTGTCCTGAACAGAATCATAATAAAATCAAGGATTCGAGCCAGATGAGGTGGATATGGTAGGCTCCGTTCCATGCTTACCAAGCTTTAAAAGTAATGCACATCTCCCTTCTGAAGGAAGGAACAAAGGGAGAAAAGTAGTAAATCTTCAAAACAGGGTCTTCTGTCGTCATTTCTTTTTCCTGATGAATAAGGGGTTATACAAGGCTGAAAACGTTTCAGAGAAATGCAGTGGGTAGGAGCCACTCATTCAAGTCAACTGGAGTAGCTGTGCTTTCTCCCTCCAGGGACAAAAGAGGGATCTGTATTTTCAAGGAGTTAGAAGCCTCTGTAGCCACATCAAAGTGGGTGGATCTGCTCTAACAGTTCACTGTCAAAGAGGAAGCTGGCAGTAGGCCCAGCCAATGAAGGAAAGTTAATAGAATATTTCTCATGCAGGAGCCGCTGGATTGCATGAAGATGTTGGGGACATGGAGTCAACCCACACAATGTTAGGTGGAAGAAAAAAAATACTATGTTTTGACGAGTTAACTTTCAGACAACCTATTCCCGTTCCCTCTCATGAAGATGTAAATGTGTAAAGAGAGATTGACTGAGAAGTCACATTGCTTTTTTTTTTTAACTTTTAGACCGTGTTTTGCTCTTGTTGCCCAGGCTGGAGTGCAATGGCGCAATCTCAGCTCACCGCAACCTCTGCCTCCAGGGTTCAAGCGATTCTCTTGCCTCAGGTTCCTGAGTAGCTGGGATCCCAGGTGTGCGCCACCACACCCGGCTAATTTTTTATTTTTAGTAGAGACAGAGTTTCACCATGTTAGCCAGACTGGTCTCAAACTCCTGATCTCAGGTCATCCACCCACTACAGCTGGGATTACAGGCGGGAGCCACCACACCAGGCCATTAGCCATTCTTTTTTTTTTTTTTAGACGGAGTTTCGCTCTTGTTACCCAGGCTGAAGTGCAATAGTGCGATCTCGGCTCACAGCAACCTCTGCCTCCTAGGTTCAGGCAATTCTCCTGCCTCGTGGTCTCGATCTCTTGACCTTGCGATCCACCCACCTTGGCCTCCCAAAGTGCTGGAATTACAGGCGTGAGCCACCGTGCCCGGTTGCATTGCATTCTTTAAAAAGTTTTATATCTTTAGCCAGGCGTGGTGGCTCACGCCTGTAATCCCAGCACTTCTGGGGGCCCAGGCGGGCAGATCACCTGAAGTTGGGAGTTCCAGACCATCCTAACCAATATGAAGAAACCCCATCTCTACTACTAAAAATACAAAACTAGCCGGGTGTGGTGGCACATGCCTGTAGTCCCAGCTACTCGGGAGGCTGAGGCAGGAGAATCATTTGAATCCGGGAGGTGGAGGTTGCCATGAGTCAACATCACACCATTACACTCCAGACGGGCCAACAGGAGCGAAACTCCATCTCAAAAAAAAAAAAAAGTTCTCTATCTTTAATGTACACACATTACAACACAAATATTTATACTCAAATAGTATTTACATAATAGTAATTTTTTGATGCTATAAAATAGAATCCTTGCAACACCAAATTACACCATCTGGTCTGATCTGCCAGCAGATGGCACCCGAGACCCATGGATTGGAAATGTTTATAATCACTAGAAATAAATCCTCTCCTGCACTGCCCACACCTCTCCCTGCTGGCTCCTGGGGCTCTGCTGTTTTCGGGAATCATGACAGCATTGTGGTGGCGTATAGAAGCTGAGTCCCATTGCATGCCCTGGGTTCTAGTTCCCTCTGTTATCAATAATAGGAAGTGAGATTGAAAGATGAAAAATACTGGGGCTTCTGCTGAGAAGAGAGAAAAGAATAAGATGTCTTGATCTTACTTTATGCCAGGCCCCATGCCAAGCCCTAAACATGGACCATCTTACTGAATCCTATAAGGGTTCCACAAGCCGGTGGACTTCATCATTTTATAGGGAAACTGAGGCTCTTGGCTAAGATCCCTGACAGTAACACCAGCCCCTGAGTCCTCAGCAGGATCCTACACTTGGATGTCCTTTATGGAGGCTTCCTCGGCACAGGGAAGGTTCCTCACCACCCACAGGCACTTGATCATTATCCACCCTTTGATGATGTGCGATTCCAAATCACCGCTGCACTAGTCTCCCTTGATAGGGAGAGACGCGGGCGGGGGTGTTAGGAGAAAAATCTCTCATCGATCTGATGTAGCTCCCCAAAAAGATGTAACTTTTTTTTTAGACGGTGTTTCACCATGTTGGTCAGGCTGGTCTTGAACTCCCGACCTCAGGTGATCCACCCGTCTTGGCCTCCAAAGTGCTTGGATTATAGGCATGAGCCACTACACCTGGCTAAAAATGTAACTTTTCTTTTTTTCTTTTTTTATTTTATTTGTATTTTTTAAGACAGGGTTTCACCATATTGGTTGGGCTGGTCTCAAACTCCTAACCTCAGGTGATCCGCCTGCCTCGGCCTCCTAAAGTGCTGGGATTACAGGCGTGAGCCACCGCACCCAGCAAGATGTAACTTTTAAAAGGTGAGATTAAAATATTTAAAAAGTGTTACATAGCTGTATGGTTTTAATATTTTACTAAAGGGAATGTGGCTGTCTTTACTAGCTACAACCAGTTTAATTCAAGAAGGGCTGCTAGTCATCAGGGCATCAAGCAAGGGTTGGTGCTGCCCAGAGGCTCCACCCAATATATAGTATGGACATCCCCTTCCAGGGCAGGAGGATGGGTAACTACTTGTGCAGTGAAGCTGACATCCACCAACTAAGGCTTCTGGATCCACGTGGAGACTCACAAGGAGTGGCCAAAGACTCTGAGAAGAAGGTGCTGTACATATGGATTGGCTCACTGTTCTTGCCCACTAATGCTTCAGGCCCTGGGTGTCCACTGAGTGTTATTTTAACCCACCGAACAGCCACAGAAACAAACGAGGTAACAGACGTCTAAAGAGAAGTGAAGAACTGGGGGAGACCGAGCTTGGTGGCTCACACCTATACTCCATGCACTTGGGGAGGCCAAGGCAGGAGAATCACTTGAGCTCAGGAGTTCCAGATTAGACTGGGCAACATAGTAAGATCTTGTCTCTTCTAAAAATAAAAGTATTGGCTGGGCTTGGTGGCTCACACCTGTAATCCCAGCACTTTGGCAGGCCGAGGTGAGCAGATCATACGGTCAGGAGTTCGAGACCTTGTCTTTGCTGAAAATACAAATATTAGCCTGGCATGGTGGCATGGGTCTGTAATCCCAGCTATTCAGGAGGCAGAGGCTGAGGCAGGAGAATTGCTTGAACCCGAGAGGCAGAGGTTGCACTGAGCTGAGATGTCGTTATGTACTCCAGCCTGGTGACAGAGCGAGACTCTGTCTTAAATAAATAAATAAATAAAAGTATCTAGGTGTGCTGGCTCACACACCTGTAGTCCTAGTTACTCAGGAGGCTGAGGTGGGAGGATCGCTAGAAACCAGGAAATTGAGGCTGCAATGAGCTATCATTGTGCCACTGCACTCTAGCCTAGGTGAAAAAGCCATCCCTTTAAAACAACAGGCCGGGCACGGTGGTTCACGCCTGTAATCCCAGCACTTTGGGAGGCCGAGGCGGGTGGATCACGAGGTCAATAGACCGAGACCATCCTGGTCAACATGGTGAAACCCCGTCTCTACTAAAAATACTAAACTTAGCTGGGCATGGTGGCGCAGCCTGTAGTCCCAGCTACTCAGGAGGCTGAGGTAGGAGAATTGCTTGAACCCAGGAGGCGGAAGTTGTGGTGAGCCGAGATCGCACCATTGCACTCCAGCCTGGGTAATAAGAGTGAAACTCCGTCTCAAAAAAAAAAAAAAAATTAAAAAAGAGCTGGAGCTGGGCATGGTAGCTCACACCTGTAATCCCAGCATTTTGGGAGGCCGAAGTGGGTGGATCCCCTGAGGTCAGGAGTTCAAGACCAGCCTGACAAACATGGAGAAACCCCATCTCAATTTAAAAAAAAAAGTAAAATATAAAAAAATAAAAATAAACAGCCAGGCACGGTGGCTCACGCCTGTAATCCCAGAACTTTGGGAGGCCCAGGCGGGTGGATCACCTGAGGTCAGGAGTTTAAGACCAGCCTGACCAACATAGTGAAACCCCGTCTCTACTAAAAATACAAAAATTAGCTGGGCATGGTGGTGCATGCCTGTAATCCCAGCTACTTGGGAGGCTGAGGCAGGAGAATAAATACCCTAAACCCTGGAGGTGGAGGTCGCAGTGAGCCGGGGCAACAAAAGTGAAACTCTGTCTCCAAACAAACAAACAGGAATGGGAGGAAATTGATCACAATAACCAAATTTCATTTCAATGCCTTGATTTGCTGGAGCTGAATCTTAGTTATTGGAAGACTCAGTGCCTTTTTTTTTTTTCATCAATAACTGAAGATTCCTGAGGCTTCAGCTGGAAAACAGGTTACTTGCTAATAGAGGGCACCAGACAGCTTCCACTCAGTTTCCCTTTATTTCTGTTTCTTTGCCATCCATGCCAGGCTAACTCCTTCATGCATTCTCAAGCCTGAATTCCACCCTAGACATTCAGATTCCCATTTTTGACTGAATAGGACACAGGTCCCCGAAGTCCCATCCAATCCATGTCAACGTTTCCCCCAAGTCCAGCCCCTGGTTCATTTCCTTTTCCAGTTTCAGAGCCGTGTCTGAAACGACGGGTTCTGTGCTCCCTTGAGGATGTACCTAAGACCTAAGTTTTGGTTTCCAAGTGTCCAGAAGAAAGCATTTGATACATCCACCCAAACAGGCAGATGTTCAACAGTTGCACTGATTTACCTCCAGGGCATAAAATGCCCTGTGGCCGCAGTGAGGGCAGCAGGCAGTACAGAACGAGATCCTCTTGGGCTGCCTCAAGTCCTTCACTCTCCCCATCAGCTCAGCCCCAAGTTGGGCGAATCTCCTCCGGCAGAGAGCACCATAAGCACCGTAACTCTCCCGTGGGGCAGGATACAGCTCCAGGCATAAGTTGTTCAGTCTGATTGTGTGGGACAGCAGGTTCTCCAGGGTGGCCATGGAGATGGGATTGCCACGAAAGCTGAAGGTGGTGAGCTCAAAGCAGCGGCTCAGGGCAGGCAGGATGGCGTCGACTTGGGAGTCTTCGATCCCACAGTCATCTAAGTCCAGGTACTCCAGGGTGGCTGCCACTTTTTCTAGCAGAAGTTGGAGAGGCACAAGACTCAAATTGGCCAGGCTGATGCCACTCAGGTCCAGGGTCGTTAGTTGACTGAGGCTCGGGGACTGGGACAGATGTCTCAAGTCTGGTTCCGAAAGCACACAGTTCGTTATTGCAAGGGTCTTTAATGGGGTCATCAGACAGCTGGGGAGAGAGCAAGAAGTTAGTTCTGGGGAATCATAGGGTTGACTGGAGGGTGATGGGGGATGACTTCAAGGTGATGGATGAAGACCATTCTGCCCAAGCCCAGGTTCATTCTGATTGTCTGATAGTCAACACTTCGGATGCTGTGTGATGAAGAACTTTGCCACTGAGGTCAAGTCCATCTTAGGCCCGGTGCAGTAACTCACACCTGTAATCCAAGCACTTTGGAAGGCTGAGATGGGTGGATCACTTGAGGTCAGGAGTTTGAGACCAGCCTGGCCAACATGGTGAAACCCTATCTCCACTAAAAATGCAAAAATCAGCTGGGCGTGGTGGCAGGTGCCTGTAATTTCAGCTACTTGGGAAGTTGAGGCAGGAGAATCGCAAAAACCCAAGAAGTGGAGGTTGCAGTCAGCAGAGATTATGCCACTACACTCCAGCCTGTGTAATGCAGTGAGACTGTGTCTCAAAAAAAAAAAAGGAAAAACAAAGAAAAATTCCATTTCCGGCTGAGTCTTTTCCCCATCATTTATAGGAATGGATCAAGTTCACAGAACTTTACTCCCTTACTCATCCGTCAGGGGAAAACCACATCTCTGGGCCACAGGAGCCCAGTGGGGACACAGGCTTATGGACAAACCCAGGCGGGATTCTGCAACGTCAGCTGGGGAGCCCAGGCAGCAGGGTTCCCTGACACTCCTGTCTAATCAGCAAACCATTTATCACTTTCACCAGCCTTTGTGCCTACTCTCTCACCTTCTGTTTCCTAGGTAATTAATTTACCTGGAGCTCAAAACAACCTATTGGGAATTAGAGATGAGATCATTTGTGTTCCTCAAGCTGTTGAGCACAGAGCTTGTATTATTCCAAAATGTGCAGGTTTGACGAGCATTCCCCTCTTCAGTGCCCACTTCACTTCCCCACTTCCCAACATCTTTTTAAAACTAATCTGGTTTGGCCGGGCATGGTGGCTCACGCCTGTAATCCCAGCATTTTTGAAGGCTGAGGCCAAGAGTTCGAGACCAACCTGATCAACATGGTGAAACTGGGTCTTTACTAAAAATACAACACTTAGCCAGGTGTGGTGGCGAGTGCCTATAATCCCAACTACTCAGGTGACTGACAGGAGAATCGCTTGAACCCGGGAGGAGGAGGTTGCAGTGAGCTGAGATTGCACCACTGCATCCAGCCTGGGTGACAGAGCAAAACTCTGTCTCAAAAATAAATAAGTAAATAAATAAACACATAAAAATTATCTTGTTTGGGCTGGGCATGTTTGCTCAAGCCTGTAATCCCAGCACTTTGGGAGGCTGAGGCAGAGGGATCACGTGAGGTCAGGAGTTCGATACCAGCCTGGCCAATATGGTGAAACCTCATCTCTAATAAAAACACAAAAATTAGCCAGGTGTGATGGCTCACACCTGTAATCCCAACTACTCAGGAGACTGATAGGAGAATCACTTGAACCCTGGAGGCAGAGGTTGCAGTAAGCCGAGATCATGCCACCGCCCTCCCCCTGGGCAATAAAGTGAAATTCCATTTCAAAAAAAAAAGTTACCTTGTTTGTTTTTATTTTTTTTAATTTTGTTTTATTTTTATTAATTCATATTTTTAATCAGGAGTCTTGCTATGTTACTGGGCTCAAGTTATCCTCTTTCCTCAGACTCTCAAAGTGCTAGGATTACAGGCATGAGCCACCATGCCTATTTCTCATCATCTTAACATAGACATGCCTCCTCAGGAGGAATTCACAAACGCACCCTCCCTAGAGCGGAACCCTTCAGTAGCCAGCTTCCTAGCATGGCAGCCTCTCTATAGCATCTACCCTGCTGATCCCTCTGCCTTTATTTTGAATGGTTGTGTGATACCCATTTCAGGACAGAGCCACCAACAGGAAAAAGCATGCCCACTAGCGTTTACTGTGACTTAAGAAAGGCTCTGCTGTGGTCTGCAGAGAAAGCTCACCATCCTTCCTCACCTGAGCAGCTGGTCCAGATGGCCTTCGAGGAAAGAAACACAGTTCATATATAGCTTTTGGACGTGCTGCAGCTTGAGGAACTGAGAGGTGAACTGAGTAAGAAACTCCTTCTTCTGCTCTGGGGAAATGTAGCGAGGGACATCGATGTGGGAGACAGCCAGCTTATGAAGATTCCTCATCTGGCCCAGGTATGGGGTAAACTCTGCCAGGTCGGGCAGTTGCCACCTGCAATTCACTTCCACCTCCTGGATACAGCCTGGGTTCACCATATTCAGGATGTTTTTGATTTTGTGGAGGGACGTTCCCAAAACTTTCAGCTTCTTACAGCACAGGTGTAGTAAACCTTCCCTCTGCTTGACCCACAGAAAGAGGCAGGTGAGGCATTCATCCAGAGTCCTGTTCTTGAGGCAAAGGTCTATGAACACAGTCAAGCGCTGCTGTCCTCTCATCACTGGACAGTCCTGAGTGGGTTTTCTCTTCCTCGTGGCATTTGGTAAGTACCTGTGGGCCGTGGCTTCAGACCACACCATCCAGAAGTTCTCACTGACATCCTGTAAATCCAGGACTTGAAGTTTCCTTCTCCTGTGGGAAGGTAGAGGAGGCTGAGAATGTAAGCAGTCCCTGCTCAATGTCAACTTCACACCCTGCGCGGCGGCCGCTCCCTCCTTGCTTTCTCTGACTTTTCTCCGCCCTGCTGTCCCCTTGGATCCTGTTCAATTCCACTTTCTCTTTATTCTGAGAATAAGTCTCCCTCCGTCGCCCAGGCTGGAGTGCAGCGGTGAGATTTTGGCTCATGGCAACTTCCACCTCCTGGGTTCAAGTGATTCTCCTGCCTCAACTTCCTGAGCACCTGGGATGACAGGTACTCACCACCATGCCCAGCTAATATTTGTTTTAGTAGAGTCAGAATTTCACCCTGCTGGCCAGGCTGGTTCCAAACTCCTGACCACAGGTGATCCACCCTCCTCAGCCTCCCAAATGCTGGGATTACAGGTGTGAGCATCCGTGCCCTGCTCAGTTCCCACTTTTTAGTGGTGCCTTTCATTGCCACTAGGAAAAAGGTTCCTGTGACCTCCATGGACCCTGCATGATGAGCAGTCCTTTCCCTGAGGAGCTGGGCAATGGCCAAGGCCTCACTGAGCTTTCTCATCAGCACCATCAGAAGCCTGTGGGCCCCCCGTTGGGCCTCCCCACTCCTCACGACCCAGCTCTTCCTTCTCTGGACACCTGGGCCCTCCCTACCTGCCTACCTGGGCCATCTCACCTGAGACGAACCCCCTGGGTCAGCAGTGCATCAAGCCCATCGAGTACAGCTTGGAAGGTCTCCAGGCAAGGCGTCTTCATCAGGGACCCCAGAGGGAGGCGGGGGAAGGGCCAGGCCTGCACCATCGCCTTCAGGGCCTCACAGCATCTCCTGCTAAAGGCCTCCATGAACAGTGGGGGGGAAAGTTCTGTGGGCAGCTCCTCCAGGGTGCAGACGGCCAAGGCCTGGTCCCTCAGCAGGCTCCGCCCCACCAGCTCCAGGAGTCTGGGTGGAGTCCGGATGCTCATCTTCAATCTGCAAGGAAAAGTTCCAGAGGATGAATCCAGAGAAAAGGCGTCACTTTCAGACCAAGCCCATGCAATCTCATCCTCTCCTAGGGCCAAAGTCAGTGCTCTGGCAACGGTGAAAGAGTCCTCAGTTTTCTCCACTGTGCTCAGTGGCCACAAGGCCAGCATTCTGTCTCTGCATCAGCACCAGCGTCTCCCAAGCAGTGAGGAGGCAGGACCACCGCTAGCCCTTCCTTTCCATCCAGTGTTCCATCCACTGAGTCGTGAGTATGGGGGAGCCTGAAGGCTAACCCCTCCCACCTTTGGGGGAAGTTTCTAATTACTCAAGGTTCTAAAGCAACAGGAATGTTATGTCACAAGCTGTACATGCCGACATTCACAGTTCCTACAAATAAGATGGTTGGGAACATTCACTGGTCATCCCTAGAACGGGTTTTTCTATTTGTTTTCTTTTTAGTATTTAAGCTTACTTTCTCTATTTGTCTTTCCCTTTCTCTCTCTTTCTTCTTTTCCTGTTTTCCTCCTTTCTGTCTTCCTTTCTTTTCTTTCTTTTTTTTTTGATAGGGTCTTGCTCTATCACCCATGCTGGGGTGGCTGGAGTACAGTGGTGCTATCTCAGCTCAGTGCAGCCATGACCTCCCAGGCTCAAAGGATTCTTCCACCTCAGTCTCCCAAGTAGCTAGGACCACAGTCCTGCATCAGCACTCCCAGCTAATCTTTTATTTTTTGACCTCTTGTAAAGACAGCGGGTTTTGCTATGTTGTTCATGCTGGTCTTGAACTCCTAGACTCAAGCAATTCACTTGCCTTGGCCTCCCAAAGTTCTGGGATTATTGGCATGAGCCTCCACACCTGGCCTCATTATTTAAAATTTCAGTGAGAAATTTTTAAAACTGTGTGACAGTATTATGGCTCATTTGCAAGACAGAGATGTTTCCAGTACACGTCTCTTACACATATTAAAAATGAACCACCACTTTGGCTGGGCGCAGTGACTCACGCCTGTAATCCCAGCACTTTGGGAGGCTGAGGCAGGCGGATCATGAGATCAGGAGTTCAAGATCAGCCTGGCCAACACAACGAAACCTCGTCTCTACTAAAAACACAAAAAAAGGCAAGAACCACTTTGGCTGGGCGCAATGACTCACGCCTATAATCCCAGAACTTTGGGAGGCCGAGGCGGGTGGATCACGAGGTCAAGAGATCGAGACCATCCTGGTCAACAAGGTGAAACCCCGTCTCTACTAAAAATACAAAAATTAGCTGGGCATGGTGGCAGGCACCTGTAGTCCCAGCTACTTGGGAGGATGAGATAGGAGAATCACTTAAACCAGGGAGTCGGAGGTTTCAGTGACCCGAGATCATGCCACTGCACTCCAGCCTGGGCAACCGAGCAAGATTCTGTCTCAAGAAAAAAGAAAAAACTTCTGAATTTTGAAATGACAGAAACCAAGGCACAAATCAAAATTTTTGGAATAAAGACAAAACTACATTTAGAGAAAAATTCAAAGCTCAAATCCGTTCATCTGGAAAAACAGGCATGAGCCACTGCACCTGGCCTGCTCTAAAGATATTATTAAGGAATAGAATGGGGTTGGGAATGGTGTCTCACGCCTATAATCCCAGCTTGTTGGGAGGCTGAGCTGGGTGGATCATCTGAGGTCAAGAGTTCAAGACCAGCCTGGCCAAAATGACGAAACCCCATCTCTACAAAAAAGACACAATTTAGCTGTGTGTGGTGGCTAGCACCTTTAATCCCAGCTACTGGAGAGGTTGAGGATGAAGAATCACTTGAACCTGGGAAGAGGAGGTTGCACTGAGCCGAATCAGGCCATTGCACTCTAGCCTGGCGACAAGAGCAAAACTGGTCTCAAAAAAAAAAAAAAAAAATTTCGAACCTGTCAAAGCCTCTGAGACTCCAGCTGGCTGGATTGGTCTCAAAAAAAAAAAAGGCCTGGTGTCAGTGGCTCATGCATGTCATCCCAGCACTTTGGGAGGCAAAGGTGGGTGGATCACCTGAGGTTGGGAGTTCGAGGCCTGGCCAACATGGAGAAACCCCATCTCTACTAAAAATACAAAAACGCAGCCAGGTGTAGTGGTGCATGCCTGTAATCCCAGCTACTCGGGAGGCTGAGGCAGGAGAATCGCTTGAACCCGGGAGGTGGAGGATACAGTGAGTCGAGATCGAGCCACTACACTCCAGCCTGTGTGACACAGTAAAACTCCGTCTCAAAAAAAAACAAAATATTTGATTAGATTCCTTAAGTTCCCCCAACCCCAGTTAATCCTGATTGAATTTTTGGCTTTCTTACAGATTAACTGAACAAATTAGATATTCATTCATTAAAGTGAAAGAATTAGGGATAGGGTGAAAGTCCAGGACTCATTCACTGATTTACTCCACAAACATGGAGTTTTACTAATATGTGACCTTCATAGTCCTAACTGTGAGATAGGGAAGGTTTTCATCTTTTTCTAGACAGACCATTCAGATTTCATGGTCATTCTCATGTGGTCATTTTTAAACTGATGGCAAAATTACACCCAGGATAATTTATGGCCATTGTGGGAATTATTGGAAATCTTTAACACTGTTTTTCTAACAAAACCACAACTGCTGGATTAAACAGTTTAAATGGGATGTTAGCATGTAAAGGCTTCTAAACTCTCTTTCTCCCCTTTTTTTGTGTGGGTTGGGATTGGCCTACTGATTTCAATCACTTGGATTTACTTTTTAACTGTTTGGTTAAGATTTTTTTGTGGGGTTTTTTTTGGACAGGATCTCATTCTATTGCCCAGGCTGGAGTACAGCAATGGTGTGAGCACGGCTCACTGCAACCTCAATTTTCCAGGCTCAAAGGATTCTCCCACCGGAGCCACCCAAATAGCTGGGACTACAAATGCATGCCACCATGACTAACTAACCACCGGAGCCACCCAAATAGCTGGGACTACAAATGCATGCCACAATGACTAACTAATATTTTAAAGTTTTTTATTGAGGCCGGGCACCGGTGGCTCACGGCTGTAATCCCAGCATTTTCGGATGCCAAGATGGGTGGATAACTTAAGGTCAGGAGTTCAAGACCAACCTGGCCAACATGGTGAACCCCCACCTCTACTAAAAACACAAAAATTAGCTGGGCATGGGGGTGAGTGGCTGTTAATTCCAGCTACTCAGGAAGCTAAGGCAGGAGAATCACATGAGCCTGGGAGGCAGAGTGAGCCGAGATCACACCACTGAGATCCAGCCTGTACAACAGTGAGACTCTGACCCCTCAACCCGCCAAAAACTATTTTGTAGAGAAGGGGGTTTGCCATGTTGCCCAGATTGGTCTTGAATCCCTAGGCTGAAATGATCCTCCCGCCTTCGCCTCCCAAAGTTTTGGGTTATAAGCATGAGTTTCTGCTCCCACCAAGAATTTTTTTGTTTTTGTTGCCTAGGCTGGAGTGCAATGACAGGATCTCGGCTCACTGCAACCTACACCTCCCAGATTCAAGAGATTCTCTTGCGTCAACCTCTAGAGTAGTTGGGATTACAGGCACCCACCACCATGCCCAGCTAATTTTTGTATTTCTAGTAAAGACAATATTTTGCCAAGTTGGTCAGGCTGGCCTCAGCCTCCCAAAATGCTGGAATCACAGGCATGAGCCACTACACTCAGCTTTTTTTTTTTTTTTTTTTGACACGGAGTTTCACTCTTGTTGATCAGGCTAGAGCGCAATGGCAAGATCTAAGGTTGTGTAACCTCTGCCTCCCAGGTTCAAGTGATTCTCCTTGTTCAGCTTCCTTAGTAGCTGGGATTACAGGCATGTGCCACCAGGCCTGGCTAATTTTGTATTATAATTATTATTATTTTTTGGTAGAGATGGGATTTTTTCCTGTTGACCAGGCTGGTCTAGAACACCCAACCTCAGGTGATCTGCTTGCCTTGGCCTCCCAAAGTGCTGGGATTACGGGTGTGAGGCCCGAGCCCAGCAGGTAAGAATTTTGAAATGACATAAACCGAAGCACAAATCAAAATTTTTGAAATAAAGACAAAACTGCATTTTTTTTTTTTTTTTTGGATGGATACTTACTCTGTGGCCCAGGCTGGAGTACAGTGGCACTGTGTCAGCTCACTGCAACCTGTCTTCTGGGTTCAAATAATTTTGCTTCAACCTCCCGAGTAGCTGGAATTACAGGCGACTACCACTATGCCTGGCTAATTTTTATATTTTTAGTAAAGATGGGGTTTCACCCTTTTGGCCAGGCTGTAAAACTCCATTTAGAGGGAGAAATCACAGCTGTTTTTTATACTGTACATATGAAAAAATTTTAAAAAAGACAGGATATAGCTCTGTGCCATCTTAGGCTGACTGTAGATCAGATGGGAGGGTCCTTACAGAGATTAGTGACTTACCAGATCTGGACTCAGTTTGCAGGGTGCTCAGATCTCAAGAAACAAGCAGTAACTCCAGGCTCGAAGACTTTGGGTCTCTCCTGCGGGTCTTTGAGCTTTTATTGACCTTCGTAATCACCACTCCCATCCCCTCCCCTCCACGTATCCACTGCTAGCTTCCAATCAAAAACTGATATCTGATTGGATAGCCGAATCTCCACCCAATTAATCCTGATTGGGATTTTGGCTCTCTGAAGATTAATGGATTGAATCAGAAATCTATTAATATCAGATATTCATATTCATTTCATGAATCAAGAAATTGAAAGTGTTAGGGATCGGGTGGAAGTGAATTCATTCATTCAAGGCCAGACAGGGTGGCTCACGCCTGTAATCTCGGCACTTTGGGAGGTCAAGGCTGGTGGATCACCTGAGGTCAGGAGCCCAAGACCAGCCTAGCCAACATGGTGAAACCCCATCTCTAAAAATACAAAAATGTCTGTAATCCAGCTACTCTGGAGGCTGAGGCAGGAGAATCACTTGAACCCAGGAGGCGGAGTTTGCAGTGAGCCAAGATCATGCCACTGTACTCCAGCCTGGGAGACAGACAGGACTCCAT